ATATATATATAATCAGAGGCCACAGTATTATTTTGTACAAAAATGAGCCACACTGTGTACTTTTTCCTTTCTTTTTTTTGGTACAAATTATCTTCTTAACCCAGGATCTAAACTTTCCATGCAAGAGTGGATTCAATAATAAATAAATTCAGAAGGAACTCACCATGCGGGAGAAACGCTATGCAACTAATCTCCAATTCTGATGTTTCACAACAAAGCAATGAGGTCTGAAGCCCTTTCTCCTTTGAATCCAGCAGATTACAGCAAACCAAACTCAGTGTGAAGAGCAACCTCCTGACCTGGAATGCATTAAGTTTTTACATTAAAGCGTGTCCCTCGGGAATCTTGGGAAACGAGTGGACACTCAGAGCCTGAGGCACTGGGTGTTGGACTACACTCCAGAAGGGCCTTCTGAGCACCTTGTTTCCTCACAACAAAAATGTCAGCCTGACTCTAAATATCTACTGGTGTAAACAAACCACTGATGAATGGAGTCAAAAGCTCCTGAAAAGTTTCTTACAATGAAGAGATCAGAGGTATCATTAAACTGTTCACACAAACTCATAAAACAATGAAAGACGTCCCTACAAAGTCAGGTGCACTCTTCGGGAGTGCTCGTGGAACAGGAAAGGAGTGGCTGAGAGCTAGCGAGGCTGTGAAGGCCCTGTCCAGGGACTGGACAGCAGGGCCTCTGGATGCTGCAAAGGTCCCTGCCCACCGACAGCCTTCTGGTCCCACACACCACGCACGACATGGATGGAAAGACAGATACATAAGTCATCTGTGAATTATTTCCACCTCTTAATTATACTACTATATATATTAAAATATATGCAGATATTAAAAAAAGCATACAGCAAAGTCTTCAGCATTTCAGGCAAGGATGCTCTGAATTCTAGTTCCTTCCACCTCAGCAACTTTCTCAGCCTGTCCATTTCTTTCTCACAGAACTTTCCGGAACAGCTGAGAGGTAACTAATATCAGGTGCTCAGCATGCTGGACCCAAAGGCCCCTTCCTGCCCACACTTTATGGTAATGCCAGCCTTCACTCATTATTTCACTATTGAACTCCTTTTTCACTTGGGAGATGATCTCAAGCACTTAAGGGCTTACTGAGTATCCGTAAAGATTTTACACTCAAGCTAGGAGGCCGGGGAGAATTCAGCGGCAGCCTCTTGACATTTACTTTGGAAGCAGTGAGCAGGATAGGAATATTTTTTCAAGACCACGCCATCTTATCAGGCTGTTGCATTTACTGCTGTCCTATATGACATTTTGTCTCAGAAGGTTTTTGTATTTTATCACTTGTGTACTGCCCCAAAGTCACTGGGGAGGTCGGATGGGGAAGCAGTATGGGAGCAGACACAGTAGAAAAGGAGCACAGGGAGAGCAGGGAGGGCCTGCCTTCGGGTTTAGACCTCGACACACGGAGGGCATGGGCCTGCAGATTCACTGTCCTCTTCCCCGTAGACTGGGCGCCAGACTTGCCTTGTCTTTTACCTCCACCTCATAAACAGCACACATGGAAAGTTTAACTGGTAACAATTGCTCCAAGCTTGGGGAACATAGATGATTACATCTCTTATTTTCCTAAACAGTCCCTGATCACCACAGGCCATTAGCAGGAAATCCAGTAACTCCTTGTTGAGGTGCCTGCCTCCCCCAAATATCATCCTACCCAGAACACAGGAGGCCGAGGGAGGGAGGCCCATTCAGACCCCTCCTGACTCCCTGCACACCTCTCTGTGGCTCATCCCTCCTCCCTCACCTAAACCCCCGCTTGTCCTCTCCAAGTCTAACGTAGCTTCCCCTTTCCACATCCCTCCTCCCATTGGCCTTATATCTCTTTTTATAAAAATTTATTTTGGATTAGCTTTTGAAATTTCTAAAATCAATCTACAATATAAATACTGGAGAAAGAAAAAACTTCTAGCAGCATGAGTGTTACAGCAATCATGCAAAACTACCCCAAAAGGCACTAAGTAGGGGGATTGTTCAAGCAGAAAAACTCATCTAAATGATTTAAAAGTAGTTATTGTACCACACTTTCCCAGTGACCTTCAAATATTTACCTTTTCTGTATAGCACATACACTGTAACAGAAACCCCAGACACACGAGTTTCTTTGAAAATTGAATTCAGTTCTATCCTTTGTACTACTGAAAATGAAAAAAAAATTCAAGTATGTATCATGCATAAGTAAGATAACAAAGAACTCTGAGAAGGGCTGTGGAGAGTCCACGGCTGGGGAGGGGCAGTGCCTGCCTCTGGTTGCTGGAATATTTCCTTTCCTAAAGGAAAGTCAAGCAGCCATTTCTTACCGGAGGTCACTTAACTACTCAGAAATTTTAGAAGCCTCTTCTCCCAAATTCAGTTCTTTCCTTTTGAGTTGTACCCCGCCCCAGCATTTAAATCCATCAATTCACAATCAGCAAACAAAAAGTCCTTTAAATTTTTGAAGTGTTGCAAATCTGGAATGTTATAAACCATACTTTCAAAACACTCAGTGAACTGAAAATTATTTTACCCATTGGCTGGATTCAAACATCCACTTTTTAAAAAAATATCTAGTTGCAGATTTTTCTGGAGACCACCAAAGTGATTCATTTCCATTTACTGCTGTGAAGCATACATAAGATGCACTATTTTTCGGCGTTGGGGCGGAGCTCGGGGCTGCGGGCACACTCAGCCCTCCGAGGCGCTGCGGTCTCGGAGAACAGGTGGTCATTCACCGGATGAACGCCCAGCCCGGGTCTCCAACTCCTCAGAAACAGACTTGGGGTCTAAAGAGCTGGCAAGACCTGCAGGAGATCCGGCGCTGCCCCGCACCGCCTCAGGCCTCTTCCTCCCTACCTCCTCTCTGCCCTGTCTCCCATCCACACCCCACCCCGCCGGTCCACGCCCGCCTGCCTGCACCTCCACCGCTCCCCTCCCCTGAGATTCCAGCATCACGATCCGATCCGTTCGCATCGTGAGTCCCCAGCCTGCTCTTCCCAGGCCTCCCCTCCTGAGGCCCTGCTTCTCCGGGTCCCTGCACGCCACCGCCTCCCAGAAGCGCTACTGCCCACCATACCCTCTTCTGGTCCTCAGCCACCTTGACTCTCAGCCCCCTCTACAG